ATTATTGCTGTTATTATTGTTGTTAGTACGAAAATGATTATTATTACTGTTAGGATTTGTAACTCTGATTTTTGCTTGTATTAGAAAAACTATGATTTGGGTTAGTATTATTTGGTTTCGAAGGTTATAACATGTACAGTTCTCTTCACGTAATATTTTTATTTTGGCTCAATAGTTTGCGGATTCCTACTGAAAAATATTGAACAAAGCTCATTCAATGTTAGCTCGCATTTTTGGTTGAGTTGAACTCACCTTTAATTTTATTATTTGACCTAGTAAAATACTTGCTATTTCCTCATAGAGAGCAACACTGTCAAATTTATTTTCAACCAATCGTAGTTCATCCAATATCTGCAGAATACTTTTTTTTCACCAAAATTTTCCATCAAAATTTTTTAATTTCCAACAAAGTTTTGACATGAATATTTATTGACATACCTTGTCCGTTAAAATTTGGCAGCCCGTCGATGTAGTTCAACGGATCAATGCTTAATATAGATAGTGTGATGGTATTATTCTTTTTGTCCTCGGTTGGAATTGTTGAGACCCTGACAATACTACCGGTGCAATAGTATCTCTATTTGTTTAAACTTAAAGAAGATAGTGTAAAAAAAACATTACACGGAAAAAGTGCCGGGAGTTATTCTTTTTCTATTTGCGCAAAATTAGAATCGTAATTATGTTTTTCACTAATATTTTCATATATGCAGTCACTCTCAATATCACTGTTTGATGTCGCAGAGTCGTCACTATATTTCATTGACCGCAGGTCATGATGATCGATAAAAAATCTTTTTTCAAAGTTTAATTTCCAGACATATTCATTAAAATAGAAACAGTGCCAACATGATCTGCTGAAATGAAGTATTCATCTTGAGTATGGGTCGGCAAATGTTCGGAACAAATATTTCCTCCACTTGAGAGACCCCCAAACATACCAACAGCACCGTCTTCGTTCGTAACAGCAAATTCTCGTTGAGCTTCAATTCATTTCATCAAAAGGGGCTGAACGAACTTTCTACAGTATTATCCAAAAGTTTTTGTGTTTCAAGATTAAAGAGAGAAAAAAATTTACATATCAATATTTGAAGAACTAACCAAAAATTTGAAAGTAAAGTGATTTTAATACATAAAATTATTTTAAGTCATGCATTTGAAAAAGTAAATTACAACATATTTTTAAAAAAAATAAATTAAAGACAAACATTTTGTGTACTGAACATGCAAAAATATGATCACTTCTCAATTCAAAAGTTTCTATATCATTTATACGGGTTTCAACTGTTCATGAAGGGTACGAGTATATTAACTTTGGTGTGGAATTTGTAACTACTTGAAGGAACCATCTGCGGTATGGACATGTATATGTATATATTCATGCTCAGCGTAAAATTCTGCGTTGGCTTAGACATGTCTGTCCGACAGGCACGATAACTCAAGAACGAATAATGCAACCGATACCAGTCTTTCACAAGTTTTGTTTTTCTGTGCCAAAGACGAACCCTATTGTAATTGGACTAATTTGGACAACGGGTTTGGGTAGCTGCCATACAACTTAAGGAGTTTATTTTAAATATTTTAAAAACTAATAAAGGTATAAATATGAAATTTTGTCTACCATACAACTTCAAAAGCTAATTTTAAATATTTAGAAAAATAATAAAGTCAGATTCATGAAATTTTGCAGTCGTGTATCCAATTATAGGTCAGATATATTTCTGAAGTTTTGGTGGAATTCCTTGACAGGTTTGAGTAGCTCCCATACAAGTCCAAAGTCTAATTTTAAATATTTGGAAAAATAATAAAGTCGGACTCATGAAACTTGGCAGTCGTGTGTTCAATTATTGGTCAGACATAGTCTTCAAGTTTTGGACTTCTATGGCAGCTCAAACAAAGTTGCTCAACTTTGTTTGAGCTGCCATAGAAGTCCAAAAGCTAATATTAAATATTTAAAAAAATAATAAAGCCAGATTCATGACACTTGACGGTCGTGTGGCCAATTAGAGGTCAGATATATCCGTGAAGTTTCTACAGAATGCTTTCAAAGGTTCGAGTAATTGCTACACAACAATGAAAGGTGCAGGGTATAATTAAACCGGTTAATACCGACTTTGCATTCGGTTTCCGTTTTTACTTATTTTTTTTACTGACCGTATTGTGTAAACAATAGGTAGGTCATGTGATGGCAACAAATTTTGCATATCGAGTTTTCGGTGGGAACGTACTTCTCCATAGTAGGGAAGTGTAAATAAACTATTTTTAGCAACCTGTCGGTCTGTCGGTCTGTGCGTGCACGCGTGTATCTCAAGTTCGGCTGAACCGATTTTGATGAAATTTTATATGTAAGTTTGTTTCCACCATGGCACGGATCGATCAAGTTTTGGTATATATCAGGCCTCGGGAACTGCACTTTTTATCGGGCCTGTTTCACATTTTTGAGCATTTTGAAGAAAGTATTCAACCGATTTACTTCAAATTTTATATATAAGCTCAGCTCGACCGTCCGCAAAAATTCCTAACTTTTGGAAGAAATCAGGCATCAGCAACTGGGCGTTTACTACGGGCCAAATATACATTTTTGTGTATACAAAGAGAAATAACAAACCGATTTCATTGAAATTTAATATATGAATTCCTCATATTAAAGCAATGAACATATAACTTTTTTGGAAAGATCAGGGCTCGAGAACTGATTTGCGGGCCGATTTTACATTTTTCACCATATCCACAGAACAAATTGATGGAATTTCTTGAAATTTGATATTTGAGTTCTGGTTGTTACCGAAACTAACTGGCGAGCATTTCAGGGAATTCGGGTAGCACAAAGCGAAACTCTACTAAGAGCCAAATTTACATTTTTCTAAGTATATTAACTATAAGCTTACTAATGTCCTAAAAATTGGAAAGAAGTATTTAACAGACATTTTTATAATATTCTGTAACACTTTCACTTAACTAGACAATACACATTGCGGTCGGTTATGTGCTGACCACATCAGATTTTTTTAATTTATACTCGTAAAATGTTTTTGCAAATGCTAATTAGCAAATTAGTAACAGAAACTTGTATGAATGAAACTTATAATAAAATACCATAGAACTTAAACCAATTTTAACATTATAAAAATTGCAAAAACCATAAATTTTTTCAAAAAATTGTGAAATCGGGTTGGTTATGAAGTGATTCACAATAGTTTTTTCGAGCTCCCTATTATCTCACATTTAAATGCAAGTTAAAAATATAAGGTATATAATGATAAGTAGTATATCTTATTACGGTAAGCGAAAGACTCAAAAGAAATTGAAAAATAAAGTGTTAATTCTAGTAGTACCACTAGGTTCGACATCCTTTTTTGGTGGATGAGTCTCTGATTCTTCTTCAATTCTGATTTTTAAAGTGTGAGTTTCTATGGTAATTGTTGTTAGAAAAATTATTCTATTATTTCTATTACTGCTATTAAAATGACTAATATTTCTAGTATTATTCGAGTTTTTGCTATTATTGTAATTATTATGATTATTGTTGCTGTAATTAATATTGTTAGTATGAAAATGATTGTTATTATTGTTGGGATTTGTAGATTTGTAACAATGTTTTGGGTTAGTATTATTTTTGTCCTTTTTTTTCTTTTGGGTTTCAAAGGTTATGCATAGTTCCCTTCATGTAATATTTTTATTGTTTACTCAATAGTTTGTGGATTCCTACTGAAAAAAATGGAACAAAGCTAGATCAATGTTATCTTGCATTTTTGATTGTGAGTTAGGCTCACCTTTAATTTTCTTGTTTACTTGTTATTTTCTCATACAGTTAGATTTAAATTCAACCGATTGCAGCTCATAAAATATCTACAGAGCACTTTTTTCTCATCATATTCTATCAAAACTTTTTTAATTTCCAACAAAGTTTTGACACGACTATTTATTGCATTATCTTGTCCGTTAAAATTTTGCGGCATGTCGATGTATTTCAATTGATCAATACTTAATGTAGCCGATTGTGACGGTATTGGTATTTTTATGGACGGTTGAAATTATTGAGACCTTGACAATACTGCTGGTGCAATAGTACTCGTATCCGTATATTTTTATTGTTTTTGTTTTTTGATTATAATTTTGCTTTTATTATTAATTTTATGTATGAGACTGTTCTTGATGGTTAATTATTTTTAATATTTCCAAAAATTTATTGAACATAAAAATTTTGGTTTTAATAATAATTATTTATTTTAGGAATTTATTTTTAACTTATTTTTTATATTAATTAAGCAAATTGAATTACTCTAATACTATAATTGCTTTATTTTTACCAATATTTAAAATTTTTAAACAAACCGTTTCTATATTTTCAAATCCTACCGATTGTGCCTCTTTTTTGTTGAAAACGGAATTTTTGTCTCAACATAAAATTTTCTTTGTGAATATTATATAAATTTTTTTTTCATATACTTTTCTTACATTCGAATTACTTCTACAACTCTTATAATACAAAAAAATCTTATTCTATATTGTCAGCGAATGTTATTTTATTGAATTTGTTCCAAAAAAGCAAATAAAAAAGAAATGCTGCGAAAACTTATGAAAGACTTAATTTAATTAAAGGCGTTTAGTTTAAAGGTAATAAAAGTTTCAAAAATATTGAAAATTAATGTAAAGCGTGAGAACATAAGCTTTAAAATACCTAAACTCTTTATAGAAATTCGATAATTGGAATTGTAAAGTGATAGTAGGAATATTATAGAGTGATAGCATAACAATATGTTATTTTGTTTTGTATCAAAAGATTTTAATTGTAATATGAACATAAGCATATAATTTTTGTTCAGTGTGCTAGAACTTCGTTATCAGAGTCTAATTTTTGATTCATACTCAAAGATATCTAAGTTTATTTATAACAAACTTTAATATAATTTAAAAATATATATATTTCAATATTGAAACAAAAATAAGCGAAATCATAATATTTATATTGTGTTTAAAATATTGTAATTATTATAACATACCCATATACTCCAACAGCGGTTAGTGCAAGTGCCTTATATCTTGCTTGCTCCTCTGTAGGCAAAACAATATCAACACTCCTCGAACGTGTTGCGTTAATATTAGGTACACTTAAAAAACAACTCGATGCTACTGGAAGCAACTCTTCCGTTTTACCAACCGAGGACAGTTTTGAGAAGCAGGAGTCTACAGAAGCGGCACGGTCACGTTTCACATCGGGCACAGTTAAATAAATATCACAAACCTTATTTGTTAATTTTTCAGTCACTAAAATCGGCATGGTACGCTTTGCATTTAATAGATTATTTGAAGGTTCAGGATTTTCAGAAGCAGCCGATGCGGGTGTTTCATCATTTGATATTTTTATATCAATAACGATATTATTTGAAAAATTTTCAAGAGACTCACTCGTTGGTTCAATAAAAACCGCTTCTTGTCGTGAAATTGAACGACGTCTTGACTGAAAGGATCCTTGAGTTAACTCTTGTGTTTCTAAGTCGTCACTTCGCAACGATGACGATTGTTGCGACAGATCTGTATCAAAATTAGCTTCTCCAACAATTTCCTCTGTAGCTAGACATATCGGTGGTGATGGTGTTGGTGGTGGAGAAGAAATTGTGCGCTCTGGAAAACAAAACACTGGCGATGGAGGAGCTGAACGTAATATGTCTGTTGATAAAAGCTCCACTTCATTATAATTTAAAGCAGATAGTGTAAAAGTAATATTACAGGGAGAAAGTGGCGGGAGTGATTCTTTTTCTAATTGCTCAAAATTAGAATCGACATTTTCTGTTTCACTAACATTTTCATCTGTATAGTTACTCTCAATATCACTGTTTGATGTCGATGAATCGTCACTATATTTCAATGACTGCAGCTCATGATGATCGATAAAAAATCTTTGTTCAAAGTTTAATTTCCGCATATATTCATTAAGATAGTAGCAGTGCCAACATGATGGTGGAACGCGCCCTGTAGTTGATCCCGACGCTCTTCTTCCTATAAAAGTGTTTTTTTTTCCTCCACCAACGGTTGTAAAGTTTGGACCCAAATTATAAATTGAAAATGCACTTTCACTACTACTTCCGCTAGCGCTTTTATCTGAATTTTCTGCATTATCACTATGACTTATTCCTAATAATGCTCGGGACTTACTTTCATTTGTATTTGAAGAAATGAAGTGGTGTGACTGTTTTTCTTGAGTATGGATCAGTAAATGCTCGGAACAAATATTTTCTCCACTTGAAAGACCTTCAAAAACACCAACAGCACCGTCTTCGTTCGTAACCGCAAATTCTCGTTGAGCTTCCAATTGCATTTCATCAAAAGAGGCTGAACGAACTTTCTACAGTATTATCCAAAAGTTTTTGTGTTTCAAGATTAAAGAAAGAAAAAATTTTACATATCAACATTTGAAGAACTAACCAAAACTTTGAATATAAAATGATTGGTATACATAAAATTATTTTAAGTCATGCTTTTAAAAAAGTAAATTGCAATATTTTTTTGCAAAACATAAATTAAAGACAAAAATTTTGTATACTGAACATGCAAAGATATGATCAGTTTTCAACTCAAAAGTGAATTTCTTACTATGTGTTTTCTATATCATTTATATGTACATACATATTTCAACTGTTAATTTTTTTTTCAATTTATACTCATTTTAATGTTTTTAATTTTAGCAATAAAAACTTGTACGAAAGATTTTTATTATAAAATACCTTACGGCTTAGACCAACTTTTACAAAAGAGGCAAAAACCAAAAAAATTTTCAAAAAGTTTTGAAATCGGGTTGGTTATGAAGTGATTCACAGCTGCTCTTTTGTATGCAAAAGAGTTTTTGATAAACATGATTGTATAACTGTCAAAGGTTGGGTTCCAATAAAATATATGCTATACAACCATATGATTTAAAATAATGGACGCTTGAAGTTTATTAAATGCATTGCCTACATTATTTTAAAAAACCTAAAATCAAGTTTAGGTTGTACATAAATGAAGTTATATAAAATATAAATTATATATATAATTCTTATCAAATACATAAGAATTTAAATTTATGTAAAGAAATTATTATTTTGTCGTTAAAGGAAAGAATCTGATTTTAATTCTGTATTCGTTATATGTTTCTGCTGTCGAGCTCCGTAAAATTACACATTAAACTCCAGCTTAAAAATATAAGGAAATTAAGTAATTATACTCGTATATTAGTGAATTGCTTTCATGTTGTAACATGTAAGATAATTTTTTTTTTAATTTCGCAATTTTTGAAATATTTAATTTTAATTAAATGATAAGTAGTATAGGATATCTTATACGGTGAGCGGAAAACTCAAAAGAAATTGAAAAGTGCACATTAATGTAATTGATGAAATGTGATCCTATTGTGTGCTCCTGTTTATTTTTTTTTTTTGCCCTGCTCAAATTTCATTCGGCGACTTGTTTCAAAACTAGGAAAGAACTTAAAAGAAACTGTCTTCTTTCATCTTCTTCCAAAAAGTCTTAAACTGCACTAGTGAAAACTAACATTTTAGAATCGCGTAAAAAGAAAAAATTTTGTTTTAGATAGACTGGCGACAGGTTTTATTTAGATATTTCATTTTATTGAAATAAAGTTTTAATTGTTTTTGAAACTTCTGCGCAAATTAACAATTTATTTAACAAAAAAAAAATAACTTATATAAATAAATAATGGAAATTTGTTCATGCAACTGCATAACAGATGATCCAGTTGGTAGAAAGTGGTAGGTCACTGTTTCGAATCCAGTTCGAGGAGCAAATTTTTTTAATTTTTCTCCCTTGATTCGTTCCTTTAGTTATGTCATTCATCTGTTCTGCAGCTGTATAAAAAATTTTCATCCCATAAGACATTATGGGACTAAATCATCCACTTAAAAAATTTTAATCTGCAATCGTCCGCATATTCAACCTCGTATAATTTAAAAAAAATGCAGAAAATTTATTTCGTACACCTAAACACACCAGGGTATTTTTGAAAATTCTTTAATAAAATAAAAGAAAGTAGTAATGATACTTGATAATTAAAGAGATAAAACTGAAAAAAAGAATTACGTATTATAAAAGCAAACTTTAGTTTTATAAGAATGTTTTTTTAATTTAATTAAACGACAGTTACTTTTTGTTTAATTCTACCAGATCGATTCTTCTTTGGTGCGTTTACTTATTTTAATTTGCATGCAATCGGTTTCGCTTCTGGGTCTAAAATTTTTAATAATTTACCAAAAATTCGGTTAGGTTAGGTTAGGTTGCACGACCCCCCGAAGGGTACACCTAGGCCACTATGGCCCGTTGTGATGCTACCGGATCCCCCCTCTCTCCCTCATTAGAACCAGCCCAAGTTCCTCAGAAACCGGCCAAGATCCCTAGCATTTACATTTGCTAGGTCCGTGGCACGCTCAAAAAAATGGGACCCAAGAAACCTCCAAAAATTAACAAAAATTAAAAATTATTTGAGACGTTTTACCGTATTTACCGTTTAGACTCTGAATTCAGTGCATGAGTTTTAACACTACATATATTGAAGATAAGACCCAAAGTAATTATTCCACACATTCTTGGAATTCATAAATAACATCTAAGTCCTTAACAACTCCCTTGTTACTTTTGTTTTGTATATAATATTTGGCTTTGACTTTCAAATTTATTTTAGGTATACATATTTTAGACATTTTTATATGTTTGCCTTCAGTAGTATATATATTTCTTTAATTGTGCATGATGAAGTTGAGTGCATAAAAATTTTATTGCATTACAAGTTTCCTTGCCGATGTGCACAAAATCGGTATCCGAATCCGGTGTCAGTAAAAGAGTTACACAAATATATGTAATTATAATAATTTCAGTTTTATGAATATTTATTATGCATAAGATTTTTCATTTTTAAGAATATAAACTCAATTAATATTTTTTTAATAACATATTTTTGTTAATTTGTAATCACAGTTTCACCATAAAACATTTTTAAAACTTTCAAATAAGAGGCGTAAAAAGTTATTATATCATACTAATAAAAGAATTTGTTCAATTCCAGTGAATTTGTCGAACAATATCATGTCATCCCTCATAAACAATAATTTAGATCTAGTCAATAAAATTAATGCGGAAAGTTAAGTGTTACAAGTTTCATAACTATAAAAAACGGTCAAAAATAACTTATTTTATAATAATGTGCTACGGCCATCACCTCTCCGTATACAAGAACTCAACAAACATTATTTCAAACTAATATTATTTGGAAGCCATTTGATAGCTTGAAACAAAATTAGAAACTCGTAAGTGTTGAGAAAGCGTTTTGGTTTGGGATGAGATGTACCTACAAAAACTATGTAGGTATATATTTGCTCCGTTTTTTGTAAATATCCATATAAACTTCTTAGAAATGTAACTGAAAATTAGTACTTGTGCGCTAAATCGCTTCCACTTCTAATTGCTCTGTAATTGGTAGAAAAAAGATTTGTTTAAGAATAGAAAATTAAAACCATCCCAATGCACCGTTACTAACATCGTAAAGCAGCCGTCGGCAAGCGACCCATGGGAAGCATGTGGTTCATTCAACTTCAAAATGTGGCCTATCATATTACTTGCAAGAGAAAAATATCCTTTAAAAATTTAAAAAAAAATTTTGAGAATTCAATCATAGATAATACTACAGAGTGTTTCAGATAAAGTGGCATATATCCATTTGGCTAGTATCAATTTTTCGGATGCTTTTAACTACATTTAACACGTTATACTAGCAAATCTATTAGAGATAGAGGCAAATGTTATATGGGTTAACTTTGGATCTCATCGTAGCGCATCGAAAAAAAAAAAAATATAATAACAAAAATTTTCGAGAAATTTCGATTTTTGTAAAAAAAAATTTCAAAAAAAAGAAAAAATCCCGATTTTAACGAGCTGTATCTAAAACTATGGCTCGAAACAAATTAACTATAAGACCAAAGATAAAGAACAGTCAATCGCCTATAAGGCAAGCATTTTTTATACGCAGGAAAAGTGTGGTACCTTTTTTTCAACAGGTTGTAGCTCGAAAACGAGTATATTTGCATCCCCATCAGACAATTTTTTGCTGTAAATTGATCAAAGAATAATCCCTGAAATTATTTGCCACCTTATGCGAAACACTCTGTATAAGAAACTCGAGCGCCCCACTCGTACTCATATAGTACATAGTCCTATGCCAGGCTTCTAGACAGAAGTTATTAGGGTTTTACGATTTCGATGTATAAAAATACGAAGGATACATTCAACTATTGAAGTTCATTTTATCATTTCCTGACATACCAGTAATAGCTTCCTGCCAGTTTTAAAGAAAGGGACCTTTTGCGTAAAAAACAAGAATTGAGCTTTAGTCCGTTCGAAACATTCCTCTTCCAGCACGATTGATCCACTGAGAGCTGAGTTGTTAGAGAGCAAAAATTTTTGACGGCAAGAAAAAAAAACAGTGTAAAAAGATACGAGTATGATGTAATTACGCCAGTGATAAAAAATGTTGAGTCACTGGTATAAATTTTATAAAATCTTTAAAACGCCTTATGTGTAGGTAAGTCATAAGCAAAAAATTTAAATTAATTGAACAAGTAAAAATAACATAAGATTTTACTTATAGTAAAATTTACATGAAATTAAAAAATATACGAAAAAAATAATATTAAGAAAAATTTCGTTTTATAAAATCTCAATTAAAATTTTTAAAAATAAATAAAACTAAATATTAGTTTATTTAATAAAAATCATAACTATAACTTAAAATAATTATTACTACTTAAAACTATATTCTGAATTTAATAAAAATAAAGAATAATTATAAATTATAAACTATGAACAGAGTGTGTTTGATTGGATTGGAATACCCCGACTTAGAATTCTAAAAAAAACACGTCTTATGTAATACAAGTGAATTTGAATAAAAATATTTTTTTTATTATATATAAATATATATATACATACACATATCACATAAATAAAATAACAAAAGCACGCATATCACACCATTAAAATTATTCAAATTAAAATAAAAAAGCAGTTACATAAAAAAGGAAAAGAATACAAAAAAATCTGATGTGGTGAAATCTGACCTCAGTGTGTTTTGTCTAGTTAAATGAAAGTGTTACAGAATATAAAAATGCCTGTTAAATACTACTTTCCAATTTTTAGGGCATTAGTAAGCTTATAGTTAACATACCAGGAAAAATGTAAATGTAATACCCAAATTTCCTGAAATGCTCGCCAATTAGTTTCGATAACCACCAGAACCCAAATATCAAATTTCAGGAAATTTCATCAATTCGTTTTGTAGATATGGTAAAAAATGTAAAATCG